AGTTGTCCAACAAGATAATTTGCCTGTCGATGTGTCTGTCGGGTAAGCTAAATAGCATTTGGGAGCCTTAACTATACCAATAAGAACACATGAAAGCCTATCGTCTGTTGTTCGTTCAGTGGTTGTGGAACGAATGCTTTTAGGATAGGTCGTCACTCACCGCGATATCTTGCGCATGCGCGTTTAACGAATTCCTAGCAGGGATTTTCTCTTGGTCTGTGGACTGTACACCTCTAATGTGTTCTGTGGGTGTTGCGATAATATTCTAGATTAAATCGCTGTGCCACTGTGAGGTAATCTTAAAGCTGTACCCATTAGAACACATGAAAGCCTGTCGTCTGTTGTTCGTTCAGTGCTTGTGGAACGAATGCTTTTAGGATGGGTCGTCACTCACCGCGATATCTTGCGCATGCGCGTATATCGAATTCCTAGCAGGGATTTTCTCCTGGTCTGTGGACTATACTAACCTTTCTTCGACTTAGCTCCGATTTTGAGGCGAGATGGCCACATGATGTAAGTGTTCGTCATGACCATGATCTGAAAAGAAAAAAAATTAAATATGTTTTGGCAATTTAAGGTATGAGGTGCCAATTTGCAAAGCGTCACAAATACCTCAAATAAAGACGGTGCAGGAATGACAACTGGTCCACGGATCTAAAAACTTTAACACATTCTTTTCCAAACGGAATAACTTGATAAGTGTAAATATGTCCCTGTGCTGAAGTAACACGGCGAGCATGAGTATGGGGGAGCGGTGGTAAGGCTCCACGCATTCTTAACATCGGCACTCAGAAGATGGATACTAGTTCAAGGGTAAATAGCTCTCGGTGCCCACTAAATAGCAGATCCGTATGTGATTGGAAGAGAAAACTCCTGCCCCTTTCGGAAATCGAACCCCGGCCGTTTAGCTCCTAGACAGTAACTTTACTGAATGACCTCTCCGGCTCATCATATCAGATACGAATACACATTTTAAACTTTGTTCGACAGGTGTTCAGATTTAGTGCTGGAATTTTTAGGCCTATAATTACAAAGAAAATACGTAATGAAACAATACGGACCAAAGTGTAACAGCGTCACAGGAAATATTCAGTATAAAGTCTGTTTAAATTTTTTAGAAGACTGCATTTTATTCAGTGTTTGTGAAGCGCAAATGACTTTTCTAGGTTGGTCATCAATCAGCTACTGCTCTTGGCTGACATTTATATCAGAGCCATTGTTTAACAGTATCAATCCCCTCCATCGTCATTACTGGTCGTGGTGCAGTCCAGGAGTGATGTAGGCTACCGTTGTTTGCGTAATCTTTGCCCTCCGAGTCGATACGACCTGACTGTGCGCTGACAACAGGAATGTTTATAAGGAACGCTGTTCTTAAAGCTGACACCCCGAGACTTGACTGCATTTTCTTAGAACAGTGTCTCAAATTTCTAGAATTACTTTTCAGAATCGGTTTTCTTCAGGTAAACAAAAAAACCCTTAGAAGGGAAAATTTGTGTTTATTTTATTTACTTCTTACGCCTTCCAGCAACCATAAGGCAAGACATATAGGTTTTTTTTAACGTGCAGATTTTAAAATAGTTTCATCGTAAATGCAACGAAAACAATTTGCGATATTACGAACAGCCAACCAATGCCTGCTTGATGCACTCGTATTTTGCAGCTTTCAATCAGGAATGCAACTTTGTTCGCACTACGTAAAATTTCGCGTAATAACAGCATAACATGTATTCATTATCGTATTCTGACAATGTGTAAAGATTCACTGTTGTCGGTGTATTTTAAACCCTTTACGTTGAGAAGCCAACTATGCTCCTCCCCATCTCATGAAAAGGAGGAAGGTTAATCTAAAACAGGTCTCCACAAAGTTAAAAATTTTCATAAGTAAAAATGTTGTTGGTTAGCATGTATGATTTCATGCCAATTCAACGTTAATGAAATCTGCAAACACTCATACACTGTATCAAATAAACTTTATAGGAACATGTCATTACAACAGCTTTCCTGAGTAATAATGCTCGTGATTTTCCTGAATTACAGGCATAAGTCCGTCTAGGAAGTACGCCGGATATCCTTAATATCCATCATATTACCCGTTCGTAACTATTCTACAGTTTATGGGGCAATTCTCTTCTGCTGTTGCTGTGTTCTGACAAGAAGCTCGGAAAAAGTTCATAACAAGTATCGTCACCTTCCCGCTGTCACATTACGCGTGTATTGAATCAGATTTCGGCATTTCATAAGATCGAAAAGCCACCTATATTCTGTGAGGACATTATATTATTCCTTACTTTTATAAAAATATATTCACACACAACTTGCACAACGTGAGATCTACAATGACACAAGATGGTTTAATTTTAGGTCAAATAGTATCGAGTTTTTGAACTCTGCCTCTTACATAATTTCGACGAGAGAGGTTTAAAACAATGGGGCGCTTGGTTAACATTCGAGACGGAATATTTTCATAAAAACTGCGAAACACAGGCATATGCGTTAAAACCCATTGTAATAAGAGAAAATTGAATAAACTTAGACTGCCCCTAATTTAATGTGGAGGACGGACAAAACAAAATAATGGCGCACACATGACAGCAGGTAATTAAAAAGAGAAAACTTAACCTTTCTTCGACTTAGCTCCGATTTTGAGGCGAGATGGCCACATGATGTAAGTGTTCGTCATGACCATGATCTGAAAAGAAAAAAAATTAAATATGTTTTGGCAATTTAAGGTATGAGGTGCCAATTTGCAAAGCGTCACAAATACCTCAAATAAAGACGGTGCAGGAATGACAACTGGTCCACGGATCTAAAAACTTTAACACATTCTTTTCCAAACGGAATAACTTGATAAGTGTAAATATGTCCCTGTGCTGAAGTAACACGGCGAGCATGAGTATGGGGGAGCGGTGGTAAGGCTCCACGCATTCTTAACATCGGCACTCAGAAGATGGATACTAGTTCAAGGGTAAATAGCTCTCGGTGCCCACTAAATAGCAGATCCGTATGTGATTGGAAGAGAAAACTCCTGCCCCTTTCGGAAATCGAACCCCGGCCGTTTAGCTCCTAGACAGTAACTTTACTGAATGACCTCTCCGGCTCATCATATCAGATACGAATACACATTTTAAACTTTGTTCGACAGGTGTTCAGATTTAGTGCTGGAATTTTTAGGCCTATAATTACAAAGAAAATACGTAATGAAACAATACGGACCAAAGTGTAACAGCGTCACAGGAAATATTCAGTATAAAGTCTGTTTAAATTTTTTAGAAGACTGCATTTTATTCAGTGTTTGTGAAGCGCAAATGACTTTTCTAGGTTGGTCATCAATCAGCTACTGCTCTTGGCTGACATTTATATCAGAGCCATTGTTTAACAGTATCAATCCCCTCCATCGTCATTACTGGTCGTGGTGCAGTCCAGGAGTGATGTAGGCTACCGTTGTTTGCGTAATCTTTGCCCTCCGAGTCGATACGACCTGACTGTGCGCTGACAACAGGAATGTTTATAAGGAACGCTGTTCTTAAAGCTGACACCCCGAGACTTGACTGCATTTTCTTAGAACAGTGTCTCAAATTTCTAGAATTACTTTTCAGAATCGGTTTTCTTCAGGTAAACAAAAAAACCCTTAGAAGGGAAAATTTGTGTTTATTTTATTTACTTCTTACGCCTTCCAGCAACCATAAGGCAAGACATATAGGTTTTTTTTAACGTGCAGATTTTAAAATAGTTTCATCGTAAATGCAACGAAAACAATTTGCGATATTACGAACAGCCAACCAATGCCTGCTTGATGCACTCGTATTTTGCAGCTTTCAATCAGGAATGCAACTTTGTTCGCACTACGTAAAATTTCGCGTAATAACAGCATAACATGTATTCATTATCGTATTCTGACAATGTGTAAAGATTCACTGTTGTCGGTGTATTTTAAACCCTTTACGTTGAGAAGCCAACTATGCTCCTCCCCATCTCATGAAAAGGAGGAAGGTTAATCTAAAACAGGTCTCCACAAAGTTAAAAATTTTCATAAGTAAAAATGTTGTTGGTTAGCATGTATGATTTCATGCCAATTCAACGTTAATGAAATCTGCAAACACTCATACACTGTATCAAATAAACTTTATAGGAACATGTCATTACAACAGCTTTCCTGAGTAATAATGCTCGTGATTTTCCTGAATTACAGGCATAAGTCCGTCTAGGAAGTACGCCGGATATCCTTAATATCCATCATATTACCCGTTCGTAACTATTCTACAGTTTATGGGGCAATTCTCTTCTGCTGTTGCTGTGTTCTGACAAGAAGCTCGGAAAAAGTTCATAACAAGTATCGTCACCTTCCCGCTGTCACATTACGCGTGTATTGAATCAGATTTCGGCATTTCATAAGATCGAAAAGCCACCTATATTCTGTGAGGACATTATATTATTCCTTACTTTTATAAAAATATATTCACACACAACTTGCACAACGTGAGATCTACAATGACACAAGATGGTTTAATTTTAGGTCAAATAGTATCGAGTTTTTGAACTCTGCCTCTTACATAATTTCGACGAGAGAGGTTTAAAACAATGGGGCGCTTGGTTAACATTCGAGACGGAATATTTTCATAAAAACTGCGAAACACAGGCATATGCGTTAAAACCCATTGTAATAAGAGAAAATTGAATAAACTTAGACTGCCCCTAATTTAATGTGGAGGACGGACAAAACAAAATAATGGCGCACACATGACAGCAGGTAATTAAAAAGAGAAAACTATGCAGAAGTCTCACTACACGACTTCAATACGAAGCTTGTACACGATGCATGTACTTACACCTACCAATCATTGTCTTTCCTAGTATCGAAGCCAACGAACGGATATGTCT